TATGAATTTTTTCATGAACTTTTTGAAGACCCTTCATATTTTGGATATTGACCTCTTTTCAGATGTATGGTTTGCAAATATTTTCTCTCATTCTATAGGTTGTCCCTTCACTCTGTTGATTATTTCCTTTGCCTAGCAGAAGCTTTCTAGTTCAATATAATTTCATTTGTCTGTTTTTGCTTTTATTGCTTGTGTTTTTGGGTTCATATTAAAAAAAAAATCATCCAGACCATTGGTGTGGAGCTTTTCCCTATGTTTTCTTCTAGAAGTTTTACAGTTTCAGGTGTAATGTTTATGTCTTTATTTTAAGTTAACTTTTGTGTATGATATAAGGTAAGTATCTAATTAAATTTTTCTGTATCTGGATATCCAGTTTACCCAACACCATTTATGGAAAAGACTGTCCTTTTCCTATTTTGTGTTCTTGGCACCTTTGTTGAAATCAATTGACTGTAAATGCCTGGATTTATTTCTGGACTGTCTATTCTGTTCCATTGGCCTGTGTGTCTGTTTTTATGCCAGGACCATGCTATTTGGATTACTGTAGCTTTATAGTATATTTTGAAGTCAGGTAGTGTGATGTCTCTAGCTTTGTTCTTTTTTCTTAAGATTGCTTTGGCTATCTGCGGTCTTTTGTGCTTCCATGTGAATTTTAAGATTATTTTTATCTATTTCTGTGAAAAATGCCATTGGAATTTTGATAGGGATTGCATTGAATCTATAGATTACTTTAGGTAGTATGGACATTTTAGCAATATTAGTTTTTCCAGTCCGTGAACATGAGATATCTTTCCACTTATTTGTGTTTTCAATTTTGTTCATCGGTGTTTTATAGTTTGCAGTGTAGAGATCTTTCACCTCCTTGGTTAAATTTATTCTTAACTATTTTAGTTTTTTGTAACTATTATAAGTGGGAATTTCTTTTTTTGTTTTGGCTAGTCTACAGAAATGCTACTGATTTTTGTATGTTGATTTTGTATCCTGCAACTTTACTCAATTTGTTTATTACTTCTAACAGTTTTTTGGTGGAGTTTGTAGGGTTTTCTGTATTTAGGATCATGTTGGCTGCAAACAGAAACAATTCAACTTCTTTCGTTTCAATTTTGATGCCTTTTATTTCCTTCTCCTGCCTGCTCTGGCTAGGACTTGCAGTACTATGTTGAATATAAGTGGTAAGAGTAGGGCTTCCTAGTCTTCTCTTGTTGTTAGAGAAAAAGGTTTCAACGTTTTACCATTGAGTAGGGTGTTAGCTGTGAGTTTGTCATATATGGCCTTTATTGTGTTGAGGTACATTCCTTCCATCCCTAATTTGTTCAGAATTTATCATGAAAGGATCTGGAATATTGTCAAATATTTTTTCTGTATCTATCAAGATGATCATATGGTTTTTGTCCTTAACTCACATTTATTGATTTGTGTGTGTTGAACCAAACTTGCATCCCTGGCACGAATCCCACTTGATCATAGAAAATGGTCTTTTTAATGAGCTCGTGTTTTTGGTTTGCAAGTATTTTGTGAGGATTTTTGCATCTGTGTTCATGAGACCTGCAATTTTTTTAAAAACTTTTTTCTTCTGGTAGCCTTGTTTGGCTTTGGTATGGGGATAATGCTGGTCTCATAAAATGAGTTTGGAAGTTTTCCCTCTTCAATTTTTCAGAAGAGCTTGAGAAGGATTAATTTTTAAATGTTTGGTAGAATTCAGCAATGAAGCTATCAGGTCCTGGGCTTTTCTTTGATGGAAGACTTTTTATTACTGATTCAATCTCCTTCCTTGTTAATGTTCTGTTGAGATTTTTTATTTCTTCATGTTACAATCTTGGTACGTTGTATGTGTCTAGGATTTTATTCATTTAATTTAGGTTATCTGACTTCTTGGCATATAATTGTTTGTAGTAGTCTCTTATCCTTTATATTTCCTTAATTTCAATTGTAATGTCTCCTCTTTCATTTCTCATTTTATTTGAGTCTTCTCTTTTTCTGAGTCTAGCAAAGTGTAGTCAATTTTGTCTGTCTTTCAAAAAACCAACTCTTAGTTCCATTGATCTTTTCTATTATTTTTCTAGTTGCTGTTTATTTGTTTCTGATCTGATCATTATTATTTTCTTCCTTTTACTAACTTTGGGCTTAGTTTGTTCTTCTTTTCCTGGTTTCTTTAGGTGTGACGATAAGTTGTTTATTTAAGATTTTCTTATCGATGTAGGTGTTTATTGCTATAAACTTCTCTTTTAGATCCACTTTTGCTTCATTCCATAAGTTTTGGTCCATTTTTTGCCCATTTAATTTATCTCAAGATATTTTTTTAATTTCCCTTTTAATTTCTTCTTTGACCCATTGGTTGTTCTGGAGCATGTTGTTTAATTTCCATGTATTTGTGAATTTTCCGACATTTCTCCTGTTCTGGCTTCTAGTTTCATAGCATTGTGGTTAGAAAAGATACTCAATATGATTTCAATCTTGTTAAATTTGTAAAGACTTTGTAAAACCATACATTTAAATGATTGTGAATTTTGTAGTACATTATGAGTGCTGATAAATATTTTATAATTTAGTCATAGTTATGAAATTAATATAAAATGTCTACAAGATTCCAGATGACTATACTCTAATTTTAACGAAATATTAGAAAAATATTTTTGGTACAATTATTTGCTTATTTGACTTTGTATGGTATCAAGCCTTTCTTTGGAAAATTTCTACGTTATCTCTATGTTATCTTCTCATATATTATCATCACTGGTGTTATAAATAATAATACTTTTAAGGGTGAGCAAAGTGGAGTTAAGCATGCCCTAGCCAGGAGAGCTTACTTACTAAGTATCATGGTGTAAATTAGTACATGTTATGTAACAACAAGTGTTTAGGATAAAGAAAACCTAAAAATAGAAAATCTGGTGCCTTTTAAAGTTTATCATTTGAAGTGGATAATATAAGTGAGAAATGATTTAAGGTCAGTAAAATATTTCTAAAGAAATTGTTTTGAATGTGTGGATATACATGAAAAGACATGCAAAAGCAGTGGTTGCAGAAACTAACAAAATTAAGTAGATAGGAATGCCTGATTAGAGAGAAGACTGCTAACAGGAAGTGAGAAGAAAAATCAGCTCGTTTCTTGAGGGAAGATTTAGGAACTTTGTCCTGTGAAAATTTTGTCTGTTTTATCAAAACATTAATTTATTACAAACGTTATAATTCTTGGGCACTTTTGGAATTTATTGCACCACTAATCTGTATTGTAGTGTATATTGATTTTTGTCAATATATAAAATAACCTAGAAGTGCTGAATTTGAATACCTTTCTTTTCAAAATGAATTTTTTTATGGAATTCATAAAGTGGGGCTATGCTTTTTTCTTGTTTTGCTGAGCCTGTTTAGAACTACGCAGCACACATCCCTTTCTTTGCTGACTTTCACCTAGCAGGCTCATGGGTACTTGGAGTTCATTGAGGGCATTGCGCTTCCTGTTAGCATAGGTTGCTGGTGAATGTAAAATTGGATATGATGAGTGGTAACAGTGCATACATATGGAAAACAAGCCATCATTATAGAAGTTGTTGCCTTTTGGAGGTCAGCAGTGACAAAATAATGGCCCAAGTAGTTGGTGTAAAATTAGAATTGAATATCAATGTCTAAAGACAAAAACTTCAGATATGATTAAGCACTTGGGATCAGTAGGTATCAGTAGAGACATCTACTCTGTTGTACTTGAGGAATGGTAATTCATCCCATATTTTAGAAGTCATGTTGCTGAGGTTCATGGAATCTTAGTGTTAACCTATCAGTCAGAGATATAAAGGAGAAAAGTCTCAGCAATCTAGAAGCAGAATTGAGTTATCAATATGAGATTCTTTAGAAGAATCTTAATTTTAGGTATATACCTACTGTAGCAGTATATTCATGTACTAACCAGTAGCTTCTACTTAAATTTTGTTAGTGTATCAGAATTAATAAGTTTCAATAGTAAAACTATATTTTACCAAGACCGACTTTGCATTTTCGTTAAGGGCAGCTTGTTCATTTTGTCCGTATTTATGGGAGTAGGAGGTTATATGAGTGTGAGTTAACCTTTGGTTATTTAGGGCTAAGAATACTATAAAAATATACAAGGATACTTCAAAAAGTTCATGTAAAGATTAGTATTCTCTTTTAATTCTGATTTTCCGGGAACTTTCTGAAGTACCCTTGTAATTATTTTTTATAATTTACTAAATGTGTATCATGATTCTTTTATTCATGTATGAAACATAGAAGTTGCAGTTATCTTTTCTGTAATTTTAATTGGTCCAAAGACATTCCTTGCTCAAAATAAAAGACATAAAGTTAGGCAGGACAAAGGGAAGTGAAGCCAGAGCTGCCGGTGCTCTTTCTGCCCGGGGTGTCTCAGATTTATTCTTAAAAAACTGAGCAGTTCATCTTCCCAAATGTCAAAAAGACCATCTTATGCCCCACCTCCCACCCCAACTCCTGTAGCACAAATGCCCAGCACACCAGGCTGTGTGGAATACAATCCTTGCAGTCATCTTGCCTGAAACAAATACAGGATAGGAGGGAACACAGGCATCAAAAGCTAGGTTATGGCATCCTCTGGTGTTAAGATTCCAGAACCCCTGAATCCACCAGATAAGACACTGACGCCTTACCTGAGGCATAGCAGAAAGGTCTTCCAATCTTTCCAAAACCAAGAAAAGCCTTCCAATCCTGACCTGAAGTTGTTGGAGATTGGCAAAGATATTGGTGGCATGTGGTGAGATCTCACTGATAAAGAGAAGCAAGAATATTTAAATGAATATGAAGCAGAAAAGAGAGTACAATGAATCTGTGAAGGCCTGTCATAATTCCTTTGTATTACTTGTTTAGATAAGTGCAGAAAGTTGCATGGAGGAAGGAGAATCTTATATGAGCATTCAGCCTGCTGAAGATCCAGTTGATTATGATGATGGTTTTCAATAAATCATATAGCTACTGCTGTTTTCAGAGACACCACTGAGTGAAATTCTTAGTGAGTGTGGTGCCAGATGTTCGGTTATTTGTCATAACAGCTAGAATGCACCAGAGCATGATTCTTGCTCTGCCATTTCTATGACTAAGCATGTTTTTAACCTCTTTATTAATATCTGTTTGCCCATCTGTAAAACAGGAATGAGAATGTAAATCTTCTAACCAAAAATTGAGTGAAATCTTGTTTTCTTTCTTTTTAAGCACAGTGCCTATCATGTTATATTAATAAATCCATGTATCTATGAATGCTGCTGGTTAATGTAACATTTTCTACTCTAAATATTGTTAGAAGTAATCCTTTTACATTTCTTTAGCTACATTTTTTTTTAAGTTGGAAAAACAGTAAACATTTTATAAAGCACTAGTTTCATTGTTTATTAGCCTATCAAATTGGTAAATATTACAGCACTAATAATCCTCAGCATTGGCTTGGATGCTGTGGGCCTTTTTACATCCTGCTTAGTTGTTTGTATTGGTATACATTTTGGAGGGACAATTTGGCAATATATATCAAAGAGATTAAAACTTATGTTTTCATTTGGTAATTTCATTGCATGGAATCATACATAAGACATTGTTTTAGTCCGTTTTGTGTTGCTATTACAGAATTACCTGAGACTGGGTAATTTATAAAGAAGAAAGGTTTATTAAGCTTACGATTCTGGGATAGCTGTGTCTAGCACGGGCCTCAGGCTGCTTCTACTCATGGCGGAAAGTGGCAGGCAGCCAGCGGGTACAAGCAGATCACATGGCGACAGGAAGCAAGAGAGACAAAGCAAGAGAGAGAGGAGGTGCCAGAGTCCTTTAAACAACAAGCTCTAGCGGGAACTAATAGAGCAAGAACTCACTCATTAATCCCCCCTCCCCCAGTGACCTGTAAATCCTCTGTAGTCCATAAGACAGCCCATTAAGCCCATCCCACGTACTCTGGGGTTGATTTTCTGCTTTTTACGTATATAGGAAATGCTTGGAACTTCTTTACGTTTTCCAAACGCAGTTGGCTCTGAAACTGCTCCAGTGTCTGAGAATCACAGATGCCCCTCATTTCTACGGCCTGCCCTCCCTCGAGCGGACCTTGCGGGGGCTGGCTCACCTCACCGCATTTCCCGGCTGGAGTTCGCACTCTCCTCTCACCAAGCCCCTCGACATTTGTGTGAAGTACCTGTCAGGTCTCCTTGAGGTAAGTAAAAATAACAACCTCCCTAATAATAGCTATTTACGACTTACTGATTGCTTTCAGCACGTGTCAGGCACAAGGGCATTGTATATGAGTGTACTTCAGAACGGTCATGGAAATAAAAAAGATTAGTATTACCTTTCAATTCTGTTTTTCACGATCTTTTTGAAGTACTCTTGTATTACTATATTTAATGTAGATTATTATATAGTATTTATATAACTCACTGTAATGGTTAAGCATGCTGATGGTTTTTCTTATTAACAAATAAGATCACTTTTATGAATATTTCTCATTTTCAAGAAAAATAAACTAAGGCTTACATTTAATTAAGTTTCTTCAGTAGGGTGATTTATTTATTTTGATTAACCTTTTAAGTTGTGAAATACAACATATATGCAGACAGTACTCAAAACATAAATGCATAACTCAGTGAATTATCACATAATGATCATCCACAAGTTACCCCCAGATCCAAAAATAGAAGCAGGGGCACCCTAGAACCAATTGTCATACCCCCCTCCCAATCTCTACTCCTTTCTCAAAAGGTAGTTTTTAAAATTTTTTTCATTATTTACTTCTTTGCATTTCTTGATTGTTTTACCACTTAAGCATGTGTTTATATACACAGTAATTTCTATTTTTTTTATTTTGTATAAATGGAATTATATGTCCTGCTTTATCGTATGGTTGTTTTCTTTCAACTTTACGCTTATGAGATGTTTGTTTTGTTGCTTGTAGGTGGAGTTAATTTAATTTCTTTCTTGTGTAGTATTATGATACTATAATGTCGAAGAACATTTGGTTTTTCTTTTTCTTCTGGTTTAGGGCAATTTTGGATACTGCTGCTATGAACATTCTTGTCTTTTAGTGAAAATGAATACATTAGGGCTAGCCAGTTAGCTCAGTTGGTTAGAGCACTGTGTTCCCTGTACTTGTCAGCTGCAAAAAAAAAAAAAAAAAAAAAAAGATAGAAAATCAGTACATTATATCTTTTTTTAAAATTTCATTTTCTAACTGTTGTTGATGAATGGAATTACTCAATTTTTATATATTGATCATGCATCCAGTATTCCTTGTTTCCAGTCTCAAAGCAAAGGCCTTTAATATTTCACCTTTCAGGATGCTGTTTATGGTAGATCCTGTGTTTTGTCAATTATTAAAAAAAAAAAA